GGGTTTGAGATGCTCGTCTCACTAAAACAAAAGTGTCCTAAAACATGAATGAGTCTCAGGGTAACGTTGAGGACAGAACAATGTCCCAGCAGTTCTTCATTTATTGGAGAAGAACTTCTCTGTCAGGTTTATCATCACATGATGGACTGGACGAGACGTGAAGACCACTTCCTGTCTGAGTCTCATCACAAACAGCAGCTGAGACACGTCGTGTGCAGAATCACATATTCTGTCAGAACAAATGAAACCGTGTTTGGTGTTTGATAAAGCTCTGTAAACAGGAGGGGGCGGGGCTTACATCCTGTTCAAAGTCTGCACAAACTGTTGCTCTTTGTAGGTTTATGTTTCTTTATGACAGATTTAATGTGAAATTCAATTCTAAAATTTAATTTTACTAAAGAATAACTTTATCAATGTGAGATTCTATAATTTGTAAATGTTTATTTTCTTGGTTAAAAACCTTTTTAAATATGTTGCAAAAACACTTTCATGTTCTACTGAGCCACAGCTTTTTTGTTATATTAGTGAAAGTAAAATAACAGCCATTATTTATGTATTTTTCTGTAACTATATTTATTTGTTAAATTATTTTTCAGTCACTTTTTAGGTTAACAAAAAAAATGTGAGATTAATCAAGATCAGATGATATGAAAAAATGAATTGTGATGATTTTTTTTGCCATATCACCCAGCCCTGTCTGGGCCTACCAACAACCACCACAGGCATCACACAGACCATGACAAGGGTCCACTACAGACCGCTTTGCACTACTTGGGCCAGTGCTTGGCCCTGATAGTCAAAGAAAAATAAATCTTGGAGAACCTTTCATGGGTCCTGAGAAGCTCAGAACCCTGAGTTTCTAACCTGGTGTTCTTCATCTGAGGGACCAGAAGGTTTGATTAAAGCTCAGAGTCTGTTGGGGGATAATGAGCCCACTTAGGAGGCCCCCGCTCACCTGGGTTTACCCATCCAGCCCCACATACCATAAAACATAAAAACTAAAGTTTGGTGGTCTTCATTGTCCTCTGGTTCTGGGTCAGACTCTGGTTCTGGGTCAGACTCTGGTTCTGGGTCAGACTCTGGTTCTGGGTCAGACTCTGGTTCTGTGTCAGACCCAGACTCCAACATGTGAGTCTGGATGGACAGGTCTTCTCTTGTTTCTGCGCAGCTGTATAACCATAAATCCCTCTATCAAACTGGAATGATCTGGTCTGGAAGCTGGGGGGGGTAAAGAGACAGCCTCAACACGAGTTGATGTGAGACGTGCCTCAGAAAGGGGCGTGGCTTATGAGTTCCAATAAGGAGGAGTTCTGATGAAACCTGCTACAGACCCAGCTGAAGGGTTTACCTGTGGAAAAGGATTTGAGAGCTTTAATTCTACCTGCTGAAGGATGTTGGCTTCATGTTTACCTGTTGCTGACAGTGCCTCCAGGTGTTCTCAGGTTTCATATAAACGAATCAAAGTCTGGCCCGCCTCCAAGCCTCAGACACACCTGCGGTCTGCGTCTGTGTCCCTTCAGCAAACCTGACTGGTTTTCCTGGCTCACCTGTGGGTGTGTCTGAGTGGACCAGGTGTTCTTTGTTACAACAAACCTCAGAGGCACCTGTCTGTTGAGAGAACTAAACCCTGGGCTTTGTCTCACAGGCTCGTGATGTGTGCAGCAGTGAAGTGGTGGCCATCAAGAAGATGTCGTATAGCGGCAAGCAGACGAACGAGGTAACCTTCCTCCTCCTCCTCTTCGTCAGTGTTTCACGATGAACAGTGTTTACTCAGAACCTGACAGTAAAATGGTTGAACTGTCCCTTTAAAACAGATCTTAGCTGATGAAGACTGTAAAAGCTGTGTGACCTGCTGAAATGCTTTCAGTGTTTTGTGCAGACAGGAAGTTGTTTGCACAGCTTCCTGTCTGACTGTTTGCTGTCATGCAGAAATGGCAGGACATCATCAAAGAGGTGAAGTTCCTGCAGAGACTTCGACACCCCAACACCATCGAGTACCGAGGCTGCTACCTGAAAGAGCACACAGCATGGGTACGACTTTCTGTAATATTAAACACACACACACACATCCTCCTCTGACGGTTTGTGTGTTTCTTACAGCTGGTGATGGAGTACTGCCTCGGCTCTGCCTCAGACCTCCTGGAAGGTCAGTCCAGCTTCCTGCTCCATGTTCCCACTCTGACTCTTTACTGACTGAGTTTTTATTTCTTCTTTCAGTTCACAAAAAGCCCCTCCAGGAGGTGGAAATAGCTGCTATTACCCATGGTGCTCTGCAGGGGTTAGCATACCTTCACTCTCACAACATGATCCACAGGTAACGTCTGCTTCTGTCTGCCTGACTTAAAGCCTCCACATGCTCCCTGTGAGCTGCTGGAGTCTGCTGTCATTGTCTCAGTGTCGTTATGTCAGTGTCGTTGTCTCAGTGTCGTTATATCAGTGTCGTTGTCTCAGTGTCATTATATCAGTGTTGTTGTCTCGGTGTTGTCATCTCAGTGTTGTTGTCTCAGTGTCGTTATATCAGTGTTGTTGTCTCAGTGTCGTTATATCAGTGTTGTTGTCTCAGTGTCATTGTCTCAGTGTCGTTATATCAGTGCCGTTGTCTCAGTGTCGTTATATCAGTGTTGTTGTCTCAGTGTCGTTGTCTCAGTGTCGTTATATCAGTGTCGTTGTCTCAGTGTCATTATATCAGTGTTGTTGTCTCGGTGTTGTCATCTCAGTGTCGTCTCAGTATCGTCGTGTCAGTGTCATTGTCTCAGTGTCGTTATATCAGTGTTGTTGTCTCAGTGTTATTGTCTGTGTTGTTGTTTCAGTATCGTCTCAGTATTGTTGTCTCAGTATCATCGTCTCAGTGTAGTCATCTCAGTGTCGTTTTCATTGTCGTTGTCTCAGTGTCATCTTTGTATTGTTGTCCCAGTATCATCGTCTCAGTGTCGTCTGCATCGTTGTCTCAGTGTCATTCACTTGTCAGCCTCAAATCTTCCACCACTTCCTGTCACAACCAACCAAGACAACTTTTCATCCTCTGCTTGAAAACTTAAGCCCCGCCTCTATTGTTCAGTCTCACTCTTGTTTGTTCACATCTGTTGGGTTGTGCTCAGGTGTGAGTGTCTCCATGTCAGCGTGTCTTCACGCTGTCCTAGTGCTGGACAATATTTAAATATTGACATTTATTGCAATGAAAAATGTTTCAATAACAGTGATATGACAAAAAAAGATCAACACTACCACTGATTACGCCATGCTAACTACAAGCTAACAACAAGCTAACTACAAGCTAACAACAAGCTAACTACAAGCTAACTACAAGCTAAAAACAAGCTAACTACAAGCTAAAAACAAGCTAACTACAAGCTAAAAACAAGCTAACAATCCAACAAGAAGCTAAGAAGAAGCTACCTCCAACACAGAGCATGTCTGCACTGGAATGAGCTCAGCAGCTGTGAGTGAAGAAGGTCCACAGCTGGAAAGAGAAGCAGTCGTTCAGTGTGTGGAGGTGGTTCTGATAACTTCACTCTTCAGTCTGCTGTGAAACCAGCTGCAGAGTCTGAGTCACATCAGACCTAGCTGTCCACAGAACATTCTGACTGTAGGAAAATAAACCTGACCTCAGCTGTCACCTGCTTTACCTGTGTGACATCATGACACCTGATGTATTGATGGATGTGAGTGTTGCTCCTGATGTCTCCTCCTCTCTGCAGGGACGTGAAGGCAGGAAACATCCTGCTGACGGAGCCGGGTCAGGTCAAACTGGGGGACTTCGGCTCAGCCTCCATCGTGTCTCCGGCCAACTCGTTTGTGGGGACACCCTACTGGTGCGTCTTTGTGTCTTCTCTCATCTGTCTCGTGTGTGTTGCTGGTTTGCTTTTCGACGTCACCATTTTAAATGGAATCACCTTGTTATGTCTGTTAGCAAAATATCTCACAGACCAGCAGACAAAGGAAGTCTTATTGGATGTTTGTCCTTATTTAAAGTGTACCTTACCCCCCTGTGAAAAGATAACTCCGCCCCAAGGCGAAGTTTGAAAAATGCATCAAAGTGGGTAGGGGAGGGGGTGTGGGTAGGGGAGGTGTGGTTAGAGTGAGGAGGTGTGGCCAGGACAAGAGAACGTGACAGGCAGCTAGCATTAGCAAAATTGATGCTACATGGAGAGTGACCACAGTATCACAGATAGTTACATGACATGTTAGATAAATTTGAAAAGGAGGTTTTTAAAATATCCGT